CCTTTGGTGCTGCATGGAAGGGGTTCCCTATATCACGGATAAGCTTGGTATGGGAATTTACATCATTTCTGAAGCTGGTTTGGTAGCTCACACTGTGTTAATGGTTTGCAAGGACTTCGTCATCATTATCCTTCATCTCATTTTCAAACTCAGCTAACATTCTCGCCATCTCTGGCCCACCAACCATCCACTTCTGTAATGCCATCAGGTTGTCAAGCAACTCTACAGCTCCTTTCACACTTTTGATCACACTATTATATTCTTCATGAGCTTGGTCTATTGGCATTGAGAAGCTTCTTCTGGACTTGCTGACAATAAAATGGCTTTTCATGAAAGCATTGAGAACTTCAGAGTGGGTTTCTTTGAGCTGAACCACATCACTAAGGGTCTTAAAAGGTTCCTCTCACAAGAGTTTCATCAACACATGCACCTGCATCTAATGCAGATATGTTGTTACATTATTAAATGTTCACAAAATGCCTCAAAGGACCAGGATCTGTATTGATTGGAAAATCTACCAAAATTACCCCTACCCCCAACCCCTCTTAATCCCAGACCTGTCCCATAGACCATTAATGTCATTTTTCAAAACACAGTAGTTCTGCAAATAAATAGAACTACTTTTTAACTCTTTTTAATCATACAGGTCAAAATCATAAATAAACTGATCTAGATTCTATAACAAATTTTGGGGGTGGGGGTAAAAATTGTGAAACTTAGAAAAATTGAGGAAATTTTGGCCACAATTGCTTTATACGCCTACAGGAAGGTAGTCTGGTCATATGTGGAAAGTTCCATGATTTGCCCCAGTTTCGGCGCTTTCTTACCAAATCTGGCATCTCAACCGTCCTTTGACATTACATGGATATAGCATCTCATTTCCAGAGAAAAGACAAAGAGACAAAGAGATATACATTTTTATCCATATATTTTTTTATTGTATATTGAGATTGATTTGGTCTTTCCTTTAAGCCACATACAAAATGTCTCTACAGCATTTCTATGAGATGGATTGGTTTGTATAATTCAAATAAAACAACGCTAATGTGATTTTTAGTATCGAAAAAATAAATAGTTTTATACAAGACACAAAATCCTGTTTTTCATGTAAGGTTATCAGTGCCAGTGGCTCAAATGCAACCAATACTGGTCTGCTATTCTTGGGCAACTGTCTCTTTCAGAGTGTATTCTATACCCAATTGACATAACTGACAGAGTGTTGTAATATGACATTGTTATAATTTCACAAGTTTAAAGTACACTTAACTTAGTTCATAATATGGTTTGTCAGGACTTAATTTGAGGAAAAGGATAGTGCTGTAATTTAGGCAGAGTATGACCTTGGTATGACCAGATTATTCATTCTACCCTGTCTACCCCCTCTCATAATAACTATTTCCAAAATGTACTGATGTATTGAAGTCATTGTAGTATTTAAACAACCAATCATGTGTACAATACAAGTCAGTCACCATGACAACAAATGATACAAACAAATTCACTTTGAAAGTGAACATTGAAAACATCTTGATCTGTTATATAAATAATGAGTTCTGTTTAAAATGTATAAAGTGCTTTAGAATATTATATATGTGTTTTACATCTCGGTGTTTTACAATAAATAAGTGACAAGGGATTGACAAGCAGAAGGTAACATTTTACTTTTCAATTGTATTCACCTAATAACCTAATATGGTACATTCTACAATGTAAAACATTAATTCAACTATTCAAAAACATCCTTAGACATATCATATAATTGGTAAAGTTAATAGAGAGATTTCGCTCATAAGTGAAAGTATAACTTATGTTTATGTGTATAGCTTTATGTAATAAGTATAAGTGAATTGAAATTTTGTGTTTTGCAACAAAGAATACTTATACATAGAGATTATAATATTTTATCAATCAATGCTAATATCATTTTCATTGAAAATAAATAGTTTAAATTCCTCGTTCATATTGTCGATTTGATATCTACTAATATGGCTTTATACCAATTATTTGAGGTGTATCCAGAACAATAATTATGTCTAAATTAGATTAGATTTACTCACTAATACACAACATTTCATAACCAATGGCTACTTATAGATATATGAGATAGAGCTTAGCGACAAATGATGACGTAGTAAACAAACATTATAAGGTATAAACATAAGGGATTCATAACATGCAATAAGTGGGTTATGGAATCTCTAATAAATAGGACCATCCCTCTCGGTTCTAGGTGTTATTTCACAATGTAACCTTCTAGATTGTTTATAATGTGAAGAAAATCGTTTTTACAATGTACTCTAGAGTGGCCGTCACATTGGATGTATTTGACAATGCAGTCTAGACTGGTCATCACATTGGATATATTTGACAATGTACTCTAGACTGGTCATCACATTGGATGTATTTGACAATGTACTCTAGACTGGTCATCACAATGGATGTATTTGACAGTGTACTCTAGAGTGGCCGACACATTCGATGTATTTGACAATGCAGTCTAGACTGGTCATCACATTGGATGTATTTAACAATGTACTCTAGACTGGTCATCACGTTGGATGTATTTAACAATGTACTCTAGACTGGTCATCACATTGGATGTATTTGACAATGTAGTCTAGACTGGTCATCACATTGGATGTATTTAACAATGTACTCTAGACTGTTCATCACATTGGATGTATTTGACAATGTAGTCTAGACTGGTCATCACGTTGGATGTATTTAACAATATACTCTAGAGTGGCCGACACATTGGATGTATTTGACAATGTACTCTAGACTAGTCATCACATTGGATATATTTGACAATGTACTCTAGACTGGTCATCACATTGGATGTATTTGACAATGTAGTCTAGACTGGTCATCACATTGGATATATTTAACAATGTAGTCTAGACTGGTCATCACATTGGATGTATTTGACAATGTACTCTAGACTAGTCATCACATTGGATATATTTGACAATGTACTCTAGACTGGTCATCACAATGGATGTATTTGACAATGTAGTCTAGACCGGTCATCACATTGGATGTATTTGACAATGTACTCTAGACTGGTCATCACAATGGATGTATTTGACAATGTAGTCTAGACTGGTCATCACATTGGATGTATTTGACAATGTAGTCTAGACCGGTCATCACATTGGATGTATTTGACAATGTAGTCTAGACTGGTCATCACATTGGATGTATTTGACAATGTACTCTAGACTGTTCATCACATTGGATGTATTTGACAATGTAGTCTAGACTAGTCATCACATTGGATATATTTGACAATGTACTCTAGACTGTTCATCACATTGGATGTATTTGACAATGTAGTCTAGACCGGTCATCACATTGGATGTATTTGACAATGTAGTCTAGACTGGTCATCACATTGGATGTATTTGACAATGTACTCTAGACTGTTCATCACATTGGATGTATTTGACAATGTAGTCTAGACTGGTCATCACATTGGATATATTTAACAATGTAGTCTAGACTGGTCATCACATTGGATGTATTTGACAATGTACTCTAGACTGGTCATCACATTGGATATATTTAACAATGTACTCTAGACTGGTCATCACATTGGATGTATTTGACAATGTACTCTAGACTGGTCATCACATTGGATATATTTGACAATGTACTCTAGACTGGTCATCACATTGGATATATTTAACAATGTAGTCTAGACTGGTCATCACATTGGATGTATTTGACAATGTACTCTAGAGTGGCCGACACATTGGATGTATTTGACAATGTACTCTAGACTGGTCATCACATTGGATATATTTGACAATGTACTCTAGACTGGTCATCACATTGGATGTATTTGACAATGTACTCTAGACTGGTCATCACATTGGATATATTTGACAATGTACTCTAGAGTGGCCGACACATTGGATGTATTTGACAATGTACTCTAGACTGGTCATCACATTGGATGTATTTGACAATGTACTCTAGACTGGTCATCACATTGGATGTATTTGACAATGTACTCTAGACTGGTCATCACGTTGGATGTATTTGACAATGTTCTAATGTAAACTGATAATAAACTATTTGATAATACATAATAAAAAAGCCTGGAGATACTCATAGAAATAATAATGTATTCACTGCATCTACCACTGGTTACACTTGTACATATATTCACACTTATTGTACACACATTATTTTACACTTATCTTACACTATATACACAATATTGCACAATATATAAAATATACAAATCCAGTCAAATCTATAAACCACTCTTGTTATAAAATACGAGATATGCTGCCAACCGTCATTTATATTCTTTCTGTACATAAACAAAGGGGAGGAAAAATTATAAAAATGGTTGTAAGAATATCTGGTCTGCGAGAGGCCAAATACATAAGTAAATACCCAAAACATCAACTTTAAACCAAATACCCAAAACATTAACTTTATTTCAAGAATCTGACAAAAGGGGGAAACAAATATATTTAAGAAATAAACAATAAGAAACAAAGAAAAACTGAATGACTATTCCTCCGACATCAGCAGATAACAAGAAACCCTCCCCATTTAAATTGTACAGAAAAACTAAAATTCAGGTTTGCTTTAATTTTCAAATTGAAAACAACATATTTTCAAAGACTACATTGCTACAGATATGTTTCACTTTGTGTAATACTGTAAATTGCTTTCAATTGGCGCTATTTAATTTGGCAGATTGGGCAAATTTTGAAATGTTGGCTGCTACTTAACTTGATTGATCAAATATGGGTATTGGAGAGCTAGCTTGCAAGGATGTCACGTGGTCAGCTAACTCTTTGGTGACAAAGGGAGGTTTAACTTTATGTAACGGGATACAATCATTAAATGGGATTACAATCATAAAAATGGGATGACAATCATAAAAATGGGATGACAATCAAAACATTGAAATAACTCTCCATGAGACTTTAGGTCCTGGAGAGTTTTTCAAAAATTGGTGGAGACTCAATTTGGTGGTTTTTATCAACCTGCTTAATCCGCTAAATTAAAATGGCCGTCAAATAAGCAATTTAGAGTATTCAGGTCTAATTTTAAAATCACTATAACCATAACAACCATTGTTGTGAGACTCTCATGAACATTCTGGTTACATTGACCTTAAATATTTACTTTTGATATTTGAACTTATTTCTTTGATACTATAAGCAAAGTTTGATTTTGTGACATTTAATTCTCTATACTACCAGAAAATTACTTCAAATGGATTCTCTGTTTCCAATGTATTTGACAACAACTACACTTCTAGTTTGCAAATATAACTGAAAATGTACTGAAAAGCATCCTCAATAGGTTTTACACTCATGCATGTTTTCTAAAATTGTTGTACAGGTAATTCTTTCCAAATTCATCAGATTGCAGTCACCAGTTGCATTACACATCACATTGTCTTCTTAAATGGTCTTTCTTAGTTCTAAAGTTGGACAAGAGTGAGTCAATCTAAACAAGTAGTCAGTCAACTCCAACAAATCCAAAATGGTTCCCAACTTCCCACAACAAATGCCCCAATCTGGACTCAGGCAAAATAAGCTGCTGACATCTGAACAAACTGAATTATTGGAACAATTGTACAAGATTTTTGGCAGCTTTGGCAATATCGTAAGCACATTGTATGACTTGTTGTGTTTTCAAGCGTCTATCTAGGTCTGCTGGTAGCTTCTGAACCTCTTCCTTAAGCTTAGATGCACTTGTAACCAATAGGTGGAGTGCATGTTCAATTTTATTTGATTTTATTTCCTGAAATAACATTTAATTCATAGTTATTTTGGGGATCACATAATGAATGTAAATTCTGAGAAAAACTTAAAAAACATATGCCAGCTTTTTGCAAGAATACACCATTTTACAAATCTGCTTTATAACTCAGTCTATCAAACACAATCATGTATTTTTTAAATATTATTCCTTGTTATATCATTGCTAGAAATCGTGTAATTTAATTGACTGATTCAGTACCATGTGATCAAAAATACCATAACATATTCCACAGCTCTTTCAATTTTGGATTATAAAATAATTATTGCCCGGCGTATTACCTGCCCAGGAATACTAAAACCTGCACTGAACGAAAATAAAAGTGTACGATACAATGATACTTGTACGTAATTAAGTTAACTTATGGGTTTTTGATATATCTATTAATCAAAATAAATGTTCACAGGTTAAAACAAATATTCTATATTTTTTTGAAATGCAAAGTGATGGTAAAGAATGTCTAGCATTGGTATAACAAAACAAATATTTCATTCTATGTTCAGGCAATACCTGTTGCACTTTCAATGATTTTGGGAAATTTCCCTCACCCTATATGCTGCCGGCAGTACATACTGCAAAAATCATTGAAAGATGAACAGGTATTGCCCTTCATAGAAGAAAATATTTGCTTATCCTTTACTTACCTCGGGGAATATAAATGCCATATCCTTCACAGCTAGTTCAATTCTCTCAGATGATGGAATATAACTGAAAGTTAACATTCGATAAATTATATTACATGGAAAATATGGAAAAGGTATGATTTAGAATCTATATTTAACTTTGAATGAAATTCTTTTATTTTTCTGATGAATGGTTTGATTTAGTTACCTCCAAGTTCAGAATCATTAAACATTATGAACCAGAATTTGAGTAAATGTATATACATTGTATTATGAAATAATTCATGCAAAAGTTCAAAGCAAATCTGACATATCATAAAAAAAATTTAATTCTGCATTTCCTCCTTGAACAGATATTCTTTGTCTAAACCTGACTGGTCCCCGAGTTATCAAACATTATATTTTTACTGAAAATATTGCATAAATTTTGAATTCAGCAGCAATCTTGAAAATTCTTTCCTTCACTTTCTTTGTCGCTAGGCACCAACCATCAAAATCTGAATGAACTCAAAGAGCTAGTATTTGATTTATCAAAGATTATATTTTTTATCAAAATGACCACCATTTTGAAATGAGCCTCTATTATTGTAAATTCCATCTTGATTAAGCACGAGTCATATGCCCATTAGGTAATCCGCCAAACCCTACTTCACTTATCACAGACAGACAGACTGACATATGACTTCTCTATAACCCTAACAAACTCCATTCTGTGGAATAGTTACTACCTCTCATCTTTGCCTTCTTGTGCAGAATGAAGGAGTTCTTGAATTTTTTTAGTGATTCTGTCTGTTTTCTTTACAACTTCTTCTTGACTCGGGAGATTGTCTTGTTTCTCATCTTCACTGGTTTGTTCACCAGATGGAGCTGTTGTAGGTTCAACACCACTAGCGACTGATGAAGCCTCTGCCGTTTCACTGATTTCGCTGTAAATATGAAGAATATATCTTTGCCTATTCAATAGTTACTGTGATATTTCTAAGATATAATTTCAAAACAAGGCATGAACATGACAATATGCAGTGGCGTTGGAACAATGTACGCCAAAACGCGAGTGCTTAGTGTTGAAAAGTGCAAATAAAAAGGCTTATTAATTTTCCTATGTTCTTTATTCATATTTTCTCAATGTATTGTGCAAAAGTAATCTCGAGCACACTAGCCTAAAGAAATGTGGATACCATATGTTATGCTCGATTTTTTCAATAGTACTCTTTTGCATGGTTTTTGTGCCTTGAGTCTGTTATTTTTCTTACTAAATCACCAATTCTTATTGGTAGTACTTCTTGAAATATGAATGTTAAAGACAAAAACAACTTGAAAATGTTGATTATTCAATTACGCGTTCCATTGATTTCAGTTCTAGAAAAGCTATTACCTTGATTTTTATTTCATTTGAAAGATAATAGATTATTGATCAATTGGTTTAAAGAAACTCATTCGTGATCAATGATACAATTAACTCTAATGTCTGCAACCTTTTTTATAACACTAATTCACAAGACCAAATAAACTTCCCACCACAAAGGTCAAATCGAGGTCAATGTGACTCCGGGGGTGCCAAAAATGTTATATTTCCTAAAACAATAATCTATTATCTTTCAAATGAAATAAAAATCTATGTAATAGCTTTTCTAGAACTGAAATCAATGGAATGCGTAATTGAATAATCAACATTTTCAAATTGATTTGACAAAATTGTTTCATATTTTTGGCGGGATTTTTTGGCGTAGTGTTGAATTTACACCTTCCTACGCCCCTGATGTCACCACTGGGGATAACTATTTTTAGCCAATCAACTCATTTGTTGGTATCTTGTATTTGTTCTCAAAATAGTAATAGTAAAAAATACCTTGGTCCAGGGCTGGGTTCTTTATTTGCATTATCATAGTCCGAGTCTCCAGAGCTAGCTTGCGTATCTGTAGTGACATCAGTACATTCATAAGGGACCTATACAGAACAAACAGAGTAATTGGTCAAATCTTTATTAATGAATTTTGAGTTAATGCTTTTACAGCATTACTAAATTTAAAATCTCCCAAAAATACTGTATAACTTGAATATTTTTTAATCCTTCCTTGATTAAATGAACAAATTGATCGTGATAATGATTTCTGAGTGATAAGAGGGTGGTGTTTATTAGATCATGTTTGGGATGTGAGGATTAGTTTTCTTTAATGTTCTTTTTCCATCCATATTTTCAATGCTCTCTGATCTTTCCCCTTTTGGTGGCTGTGCTTACTTATTTACTCAATTCATCAAATAGAGATTTACAAAAAGACACAAATTAGCAATATCAAACCTCATGGTCCTCCACTAGCCGCTGCTGAACTGTGTTTAGAGTGACTGCGGTTTTCTTAAATTGAAAACAAAATCAGCATTACATTAATTTACATATTTTTTCTCAAACTACAGAATTCCTCACTTTGTAATTAATGTCGTGAGATGAATTGAACAGTAGATCTACTCAGTATATAAAATAGTTGTAATAAGATATTTAACTTAACCAGAAATGATATAGGCCTATTGTGATAATTATTGTGGAAATAGTTCAACATGTGCTTAATCAACACAACTGCTCCCTCCACAATATAATTATTGTAATTTAAGAAGACATAGCATTCAGACAACAATACCTGTTTTGACTGAGATGTATTTTTCTGCATCCGTGGCTCAAACATAGAAGCTGGTCTTGCAGCGACCCTATGTGCCCTCAATTGCACTTGCCCTGTAGCATCTGTTGCCTCATGGCCATTGGGTATTGTCTCAGGGAACTTACCAGAACGAAGCTCAGCATTTTCCTGCATTAATTTCTGAACCTAAAATATTCATTGAAATGGTAATACGAAATTTGATGAAACATTCTGTAAACAGAAACAATATAAACAGAAAATAGGAACATTTAGAAATTTGCCCAGCTTAATGCATATGTTTTGAAGCTTCCTCACATATGATTTTGAGTGAATCTCTGTTAGTTTGAATATACAATGTGTGCCATTTATAAAATGCCATTGCACAGTAAAATTTGAATGGAAAATACAGGGTGGTAAAAAAATGGAAACCCTGCATTTTCTTTGTCATTTTAAGAAATTACTCCCTGATATGTGACACATTTGTACATCATTCAATTTCCTACAACCATACCATATTTCAGGACCACCAGACTGATAGTCACAATGTTACAGCCCTTTGAACAACATGACCAGGTGTAGCCATGCTAAAACGCAATACTGACCACCAGAGCATGTTGTTCAAACTAGTGGCCGGAGTATACCGCATTACCGACAACGGCACTAATTTGACCTAATGTCGACATCAAAATCTTCTTACCGGCAATTGACGGCATTCAGCTGAATTAGATTCCCGGGCGGAATCAGCCAAATCCCTTCATCAGAATGATCTTTATAGTTTCTTTTCTCACTTATTAACTAAACTGTTATGTAAAGAAACCGATTTGTGTACATTGGTAAGTGAAATAAACAGAATTAAACCAGAAAAAATAATTAACCTTGTTTCACAACCTATTATCGCCCGATTTGAAGTTCAGAACGAGGCTGATAATACAACGAACGTAAACGTATTTATTTTACGAGTTTATATCACATGAACCATTAGAATCAGGATTGTTTCGTGGTTTAAAATGATTCTGAGTGGGTTCTACTGTTTCTACAGATAAATTAAGTGGTATGTATGGCGTACTATGAGATTTTTGACGAAATATACCCGGGGAAAACTTTTTTTAGCTTTTTTCAAAATACTTGCTAAATAGTCGGTAAATATCGGTAATGACATACGGTAATATCGGCACCACTTTTCATTACCATTCCGAGCGCTAGTTCAAACTGCTGTGACGTTGTGAAGATGGCAGCACTTGAAAACTACTCTATTTAAGAGTGCTCTGAGTCAACTTACTCTAGTCAATACTCAATTACAATTAGATATACATTTAATGGTGTCTCCTAAGTCGATGCCGGCTGGTGGGTTTTTTAAAAAAAAGTATTTATTATATGATATTGAAATGTAGTTTTTAAACCTGTGACACAGAAATAAAATATTTTAAACTTTAAACTAAACTATAAGTCCGATAGTCATTAAATATTGTAGGCTGGTAGGAAATTGAATGATATATAAATGTGACAAATATCAACGGGCAATTTCCTAAAATGACAAAGATATGAGGAAAACAGCGAGAGGGTTTCACCTTTTTTTGACCACCCTGTACAATGTTGACAAACATTCAGCTCAGAGGTGCCTGGTGTCTTAGGGGGCAGCCTATAATTAATCATTACCATGTCATTTAGCAGATCTATCTTTTGTTTGTTACTCTTGTCTTTGTGAGAAAGCTGTTTCAGTCTCATTTCAGATTCTGCCAGTTGCCTTTTGGTGTGAAGATATTCCTCTAATGTGATTGGTCCATCTGAATGGTCTGATGTAGCACTCTGCAACAAAGCATTTCATTTCTAACATTCGAATTTTCAATAGTTAAGCTCTCATCAAAAACAGAGACATGGATTCTTTCTAAAAAATATTACAATTTAATTGCTGGAAAATATGATCATAATAAAAAACTTGATAAAAAGATTATCACACCCATCTGAGAACAGTGTTATGTGTTTAACAAAGGGACCTGTGTGAAAGGAAACTATGTCTTACTGCATGTAAATGTCATGTACATGCAACTGAACATGCCATAGAACAATAACACACTTAAGTTTGAGTTCATAATAAGAATTGCACTACATGCTAACTTCAATCACCTCATTCAGTCATGCTCAATAAAGAGATATGAAAAGGTCAATAAAACATTCAAAGGTCAAAGAAACATTTAAAGGTCAAGGAAACATTCAAAGGTCAAAGAAACATTCAAAGGTCAAAGAAATGTTCAATAGTGAAGGAAAAATTCAAAGGCAAAGGAAACATGCACAATTAAAGGAGCGATTGAAGGTTAGATCCCAAATTATCACATATACATAAAACTTATATGCAGAGTTTTTCAAGTCATGCATTGTAGAATGCCAATGCCTTATAGGGAGAGTCTGTCAAGTCATACATTGTGGAATGCCCATGCCTTATATGGAGAGTCTGTCAAGTCATGCATTGTGGAATGCCCATGCCTTATATGGAGAGTCTGTCAAGTCATGCATTGTGGAATGCCCATACCTTGTACGCAGAGTTTGTCAAGTCATGCATTGTGGAATGCCCCATGCCTTATATGGAGAGTCTGTCAAGTCATGCATTGTGGAATGCCCATGCCTTATATGGAGAGTCTGTCAAGTCATGCATTGTTGAATGGCCATGCCTTATATGCAGAGTCTGTCAAGTCATGCATTGTGGAATGCCCGTGCCTTTTATGGAGAGTCTGTAAAGTCATACATTGTGGAATGCCCATGCCTTATATGGAGAGTCTGTCAAGTCATGCATTGTGGAATGCCCATACTTTGTACGCAGAGTTTGTCAAGTCATGCATTGTGGAATACCCATGCCTTAGATGGAGAGTCTGTCAAGTCATGCATTGTGGAATGCCCATGCCTTGTATGGAGAGTCTGTCAAGTGATGCATTGTTGAATGGCCATGCCTTATATGGAGAGTATGTCAAGTCATGCATTGTGGAATGCCCATGCCTTATATGCAGAATCTGTCAAGTCATGCATTGTGAAATGCCCATGCCTTATATGGAGAGTCTGTCAAGTCATGCATCGTGGAATGCCCATGCCTTATATGGAGAGTCAAGTCATGCATTGTGGAATGCCCATACTTTGTACACAGAGTTTGTCAAGTCATGCATTGTGGAATACCCATGCCTTGTATGGAGAGTCTGTCAAGTCATGCATTGTGAAATGCCCATGCCTTATATGGAGAGTCTGTCAAGTCATGCATTGTTGAATGGCCATGCCTTATATGGAAAGTCTGTCAAGTCATGCATTGTGAAATGCCCATGCCTTATATGGAGAGTCTGTCAAGTCATGCATTGTTGAATGGCCATGCCTTATATGGAGAGTCTGTCAAGTCATGCATTGTTGAATGGCCATGCCTTATATGGAGAGGCTGTCAAGTCATGCATTGTGAAATGCCCATGCCTTATATGGAGAGTCTGTCAAGTCATGCATCGTGGAATGCCCATGCCTCATATGGAGAGTCTGTCAACTCGAGCATTGTGGAATCCCCATGCCTTTTATGGAGAGTCTGTCAAGTCATACATTGTGGAATGCCCATGCCTTTTATGGAGAGTCTGTCAAGTCATGCATTGTGGAATGCCCATACTTTGTACACAGAGTTTGTCAAGTCATGCATTGTGGAATACCCATGCCTTGTATGGAGAGTCTGTCAACTAATGCATTGTGGAATGCCCATGCCTTATATGCAGAGTCTGTCAACTCATGCATTGTGGAATGCCCATGCCTTATAGGGAGAGTCTGTCAAGTCATGCATTGTGGAATGCCCTTTCCTTATATGGAGAGTCTGTCAAGTCATGCATTGTGGAATGCCCATGCCTTAAATGGAGAGTCTGTCAAGTCATGCATTGTTGAATGCCCATGCCTTAAATGGAGAGTCTGTCAAGTCATGCATTGTTGAATGGTATGTCAAGTCATGCATTGTGGAATGCCCGTTCCTTATTTGGAGAGTCTGTCAAGTCATGCATTGTGAAATGCCCATGCCTTATATGGAGTCTGTGAAGTCATGCATTGTAGAATACCCATGCATGTCTCACCTCAGAGAAAGACATCATTGATGATGGACTAAAACGTTGCATCCCGATCCCATATTTCAACTAATAACAAAACAAAGTAATTAATTTTGAAAATGTTTCTAAAATGCTCATGTGGGCATAATAATTAAGCTGGCGTCCTAAGTGCCCTGCTGCGACAATCCGGTGACCAGAAATTGAACAATGTCACTGGCAAACATAAATGCAATATGAAAAAATGCCCCAAAAAATAAAAATGTCCCAAAAGATTAATTACATATTTGTCACCAATTTTTTCAAGGACTAACACATAAACTGATCTCTCATTTTTCACAGGAATGGAAAATACTTGAATTTTGTTTCATATTTCAATTTTACCAACTTTTTATGTACCAAACAAAATATTTCTTATCAAATCATAAAATCACGAAATAAAATGTAATAAAACACAAACTGAGTGCCTATTTTAGCCAGAAATCACAAACTGTGTGCATACTCTCCAAACATTGTGTGACTATCATTGCCAGTAAATACAAAAGAAGTGCACTACTATCTCGAGAGAGGGAAGCTGTTTAAATGAGAGCAAGAAAATTGACAAATCGTTGACACAATGAACTCTTCTCTACGGTTTATCTTCATTTTTGTAAAAAGTCAGGTAAGCCTAGTGTATTAAAATCTTCATTTTCTTGGACTCAAACAATTTTCACGATATATTCAACTCACCTCAGGTCTTTTTGACTCCTCTTCTGTTTCAGCCAGAGCTTCCTCCTTTAGGTCAGGATTGTCTATACTGCTATAATCCTCATCTGATGCTACGGTGTCATAGAGAGGCTCATCGTCCGATAAACTACTTGTCTTTACAACGCGCTGACTATTTGGACGTTTTTTCTCAACTGGTTTTTTACTTTCTGAGGATTCTAAAAAACAATTTGAAATATTAAACAGTTCTGACAGAAACTCTAATTGTATTAAAATTGAGGAATGTAGATCAATTCTTTGATGAGTATAGCTTTGAAGTAATCAATCTTGATTTTCATCATTAAAGATTCAGTGAAATAGTGATTTTATATTTGAAATGAACATTCAAAATAACACTTAAAATGTGGTTTTAAAAATTGTTTATCAAATTCCTGTTTATATGTTCACAGAAAAGAACTAATCCAAACAGTACTTGTTAAGTAATTGGAAAACATTGATGTTCAATATCAGATTGATAAAAGGGAACTTATGGGAATGAGCTTTTGCTATGCACCAACTAATCAAAATCAAAAGTATAAACAAGTGTATACAAGATATTGCCTTAACTACCTTGTTCTACTATATGTACAGGACTTGTAATGCCACACTGTCGTCTCCTTGCGTCACTCAGTATATCAATGACTAGTGTTGCAAACTCTCTTGCATTAAATCTTGCTAGCTTTTGGCGACCCTTAAATGTGAAAGTTTGTATGAGTTTTAAGAACAGAACAAATTAAAAACCTATGGAATTGTGCCGAATGTGTTGTCCTTTCTGAAATCATACCTTTTGAACAGACAAATTAGGGTTGTCATCACTGGGAAAGAATCTGACCTTTCAGAACATAATTTTATAAATGCAGGAGTTCCTCAAGGCCCAATTTTAGGCCCCCTCTTATTTCTATTATACATTAATGACCTCCCAGATAACCTTATCAGTAAATGTTTCATATATTATGCAGATGACACTTCTCTTTACCAATCCTTTCAAAGTTCAAATAACTTAAATATTTTCAAATCAGACCTTAAGAAGGATCTAATAAATGCTTAATTGTATTTGTATTTTGAAATGATTAATTTTAATGAATAAAACTGAATAAAAAAAAGCAAGTGTCCAAAGGCAGCATCATAGTGACGAAGTGCTCCAAGAACAACCTATTAGAAATACTGAAAAGGACTAAGAATAAGATTTAAATCGTGATATTATCACCCGGTATATATATATTCGCCCGATATCTGCTTAAACATGGTATGAATATTTGTGTTATTTAATATTTGGTAATTTCTAATGCTTAGAATTGCTTTATATGATATCAATGATGAGGTTTTGTACACTCTTAGTGGTACTTGTTGTAAATAAAAAGAAATAACTTCATGTAAAAGAAGGAAGTTAAATCAAACTGAAACAAATTGTGGATTTCAAGACAAACATACCTGATTTCTAGTTGCAGAAAATGAAGGATTGACTGGTAAAAATGGGACTGTTTGTCTTTCAGTCATAGCTGTACTGTGTTGGGTCTGTGTTGAAAGCCATACTGAAATTACAAACAGGTACTTATCAGAGGTTAACCCTTAAAGGACTGCTTTGTTCTGTGCCTGCTTTCCATGCAGACTGACCTGTTTGAGGATTGTTTTCCTCTTTTGTACAGGCATATACATGCACCTGATCATACCAGGGGTATGATACAGTATGTAAATCAAATTAAATAGCCTAGTTACTTTCAAATGCGATGAAAGCATTTAAGTGTTACATGAAGGACATCTTGTGCAATAATATCCATTTGCATGAATCCTATAGAAGAGATTGTTTTCAAAAATTAAAAAAAAAAATTGTCTTTACCATCAACCGACACATTACTTAATTTAATTTCCTTCACCTTTCAAGGGTTAAATTGATAGATTTAACTCTAATATCATCATCTGATCATAAAGTATGATCACTAGCCTCATATTTGAAGAGAATTGCTTAATCTATTACATCCACTTCTGGTTCGCTTCTTCCAGTTTAACATTTTCCAATTAAAGTCTGATCTTTATGTAAAACGCAATATTTGGATGTATTTTTATTTTTATAAATTCGACAACTGACAAGATTATGAACACGCCCGGTGATCGTGAATATGGGACGGAGGGGGGGGAGCAGGCAATTTCTGCTAGGAAATTCAACAAATCTGGAAGATTTATTTTTTCAAGAAAAAGTTTACTATTGAATTGCTAAATGGACAGGCGCACGGTATGGTAGAATATGTTAGGTTTTCTGGGATTTTTTCTGAAACGATACGCATCTAAGGCATGAGATCTATTAAAAAAGGCGCAAGGCCATCAACAGGCACAAATCAACGTTTTTGCTATAAATCAAGCAACAATGGTCTGGACGACCTGTAATAAATACTTGTAAGTGATGTTATCATAACTAAATTAATGTCATTGCTGAATTTATAAAATAAGTTTCCATATGTGAAATAAAAAATAATCGAAAATAATGAATTTGGGACGGAGGGGGGGAGGGGACGGAGGGGGGGAGCAATATGTATACAAGACATGATTAGAGATGTTTCGCGACTTTAAGTCCTTTTACTCCAAATGTCCCCATTTATCAGTCTCCTGGGGTATATCATCCAGTTTCTTACTAAGTTAATGAGTTCATTTTTCAAATACAAGAATTCGTGTGAAGTTGTTTCACTTTATAGAATTATTACTCCCCCCCTCCGTCCCCTCCCCCCCTCCGTCCCATTTTAATTATTTTCGATTATTTTTTATTTTACGTATGGAAACTTATTTTATAAATTCAGCAATGACATTAATTTAGTTATGATAACATCACTTACAAGTATTTATTACAGGTCGTGTAGTCCATTGTTGCTTGATTTATAGCAAAAACGTTGACTTTTGCACGTTGGTTGCGTTGCGCCTTTTTTAATAGATCTTATATCTTAAAAGAGTATCGGTTGAAAAATAATCCTAGAATACCTAACATATTTTATCATACCGTGCGCTTATTCAATTTGCAATTCAATCGTAAACTCTGTCTTGAAAAAATAATTTTACCAGATTTGTTGAATTTTCTAGCGGAAATTGCCTGCTCCCCCCCCTCCGTCCCATTTTCACGATCACCGGGCGTGATGAATGCCTATATATTAAAATGACATCGTTATTAACAGTATTTCCAGTGCAGAATAAAAGCACAATAAAAAATAAAATATCATTTCGGATAAGCCGGGAGTCAAACCATGGTATGACTGCGCGGAAAACGAGCATTTTTCCCCTAGACCACATGGGCGGAATATACAGAGAGAGGTCAATCAACGCTACTCATCCAAACGGCTTTAATGTACATGTCACATGATATTCTTAGGCGATGAATTTCCAAGAAATCAGACAGCTGGCAAACATCGAAGCAATGGAAGAAACAATCATGATAATGATTCCTTTATCGTGAGTATTTGTGCAAATTCTTTGCCCCAATTGTTCATCAGTGTATATCCAACTCACGATTGCTTTTTATCGAGAGCTCACCGTTTAACATTTCAAAAACTTTTTTGTTTCATGATTTATGCCGTCTATTCAGTCTTTTTTGAAATAATAATGTTGTATGAATGTAAACAACACTGTAAACCATCAAAAGTAATACATTTGGACAAGAATATCAGCAAATTATTTCAGGTAATGACAATTTTTTGTCAACTTCAAACCTATATAACGACCAGCCATCCTGGGGTGATGTGATGTCATGGTCGATATATATTGTTAAGGGTAGTAAGTAAATGTGTGGTTTAAAGTCCTGTCAAATTAGAATCACTTATCTGCTGATTATAATTTAAAAAATTAATCTGATAACTAAAATTGCTCATAGTGTAGACTTTGATGTTACAATTACATCATTTCAAATAACAATAAACAAAATTTGACTGCAATATTTATTGATCATGTGGCTAATAGAAACGAATAATGCCAAAGTGGTATTAACAACCCAGTCACATTTGTCGCACGGCGGCCGCAAGTTGACCGCAGATCAATTAAATCGGTGAATTTCTGTGGCGAGCATAGAAAAACTACGCTCGCCTTGCAGCCTCCGTACGGCGTATGCAGATTTTTACAGGCCGCAGGGAAGGCGTAGAAATTATAACTCGAAGTTATAATTTTTGTTCATTTCTGAGGTCAACTGGCTCAACAAGATTGAATCATTATTTGTCAATGTTTCATGATCACTTTTCATTTGATATTACATCCTAGCACTATGAATAACATTTATAAGTTGTCCCGATGTAAATAAAATGAAAAAAGTATTATTTATCAACAGAAATTTAAAATTCACCGTGCGGCTGCCTTGGGAAATGTGACTGCAAACGTATGAGAGCGCAGAAATTCCACGGCGAGCATAGAAATGTTACTGGCCGCAGAAATGATAGGCAGCAAGGTCACCGTAGGAAATGTGACTGGGGTGTAACCTTTAGCATGCTGCCGGCGAGTGTATCCACCCGTGCTTTACTATCTCGAGTGACTGCCGGCGGATCCATCCACCCGATTTCAAACTTTTAAAAACGTCACTTTTTCGCGCCATTCTTATGATCCAATTAGATTGCCCGATTTATTCAGTGCCTTACATGACTTCCTGTTGACCTAGAAATGGCGATCTTTCGAAAAATATTTCTCGATTCAACAATTTAAACAGTGTTTTAGTCGTTTTTAGTGAACAAATCGTACAAAATGGCGGCCAAATTACGATCACAACGAAAATGTGGAGGAAATGGATTGCAATTCTGAGCTCTTTAGGCTCTTGGAAGCCGATAATGGTCATCGAAAATAGAAACAAGAATATTTTCTGAACTGAAAAGTTGAACATTCGATCGCTGCAAATTCCATTTTGGGTGAAGCGGCGGATTCCGGAGGGGTATTCATGGTATATTTATGCCCAGTCGTGTTTATGTACGAAAAAAATTCACGAGAACCAGGCCAGTGTATCTTCCCTTTGTGAAAATTTTATCCAGATTCATTCAGTAGTTATTGAGATATTAATTATTTAGTCCAGGCATATCATTTTTTTGCACTCTTTGAAAAATAAGCCAGTCGCGTGGGATATAATTGCTGAAATAAGGCAGCATGCTTAAGGTCAATATAGTCAACTAGAAATAGTGGCATATCTCATCCTCTTGCCTGATGTCTAGCTTTAAATGTCACCATGGTAACTATTGATTGGACAAAATTCAATGATTTCATTCTACAACTTGCACACTTACTTTGTTCTGTTTCTCTCCTATCCACTTCATCATAAACATCACAAGCGAGCTCTTCAAATAGGTTGTTAGGCAACTGGAATAACAACAGAGGAGAACAGATATGAACAAGAAAATATAAATACAAACAATACAAAACAAACATGTTTTCTACATGCTATTATGTTTACATGTATGTTCATTTTCAAAACTACAAGATTAGAAAACACAAGATACTGCTACGGTCTTCCATAGAGGATAATTACCACACTTAATACTTTTAGCATATTTTTATTAATTCATTTATTTCTTTATGAGATGAATAAATAAAATGCACTTACAGCTTGTAGTTTTATTTTTGCTTGTTTTGCTAGTTCAGATAAATCAAGACTGCTGTCAGCCATCTCAGGTATGATAAAATGTTGGCCTGTCCGATGATCTACAAGAAAATACATGTAAAACTGAACAATGGTGGAACATATCAATGTTAAGTATTAAGTAGCCATACATCAAATGATCATATCATAACCTAAAACAACATAGCTCATTGTATCACCTCCAATAATGCTTTGCATAGTTTGCTTTCACATGTCTGTCTTTAATATATAAAGGCAGACAAATGAATTATATGCTGTTCATGGGTTCTTCATTAAAGCCAGCTTAGGAATTTTGTAGTAACTCTTTTCTTTTTTCTACTCTGCCTCTGGTATTTTTTAAGTTCAAGAAAAGATGGTTTTATACCTGGCTTTCTTTCACACAAATAGTAAGCAAGTCTGTCTGTAAGTTCATATTGACACTCCACCAGTCTGTCCGCTAGGTCAGTGTGACCCTCAGCTCTGAAATAGAAATAAAGCAGACACCTTTTTACTTGAATATGAATTCATTGGATAAAGAATACAAAACATAAATGCATGGTGGTCAAAATATTAATAGACTTTGCAAGACAACATATACAAGGCATTAACATGCAAAATGTCACCAAATGCCATTTGTTACAGACACTATTAAAGACGTTGAACATGATGCACAAAAAAGTTGGTGACTATAAGAATATGTCACCACTTCTGGTGGTGACACAGAAACTATTCATGTTTCAGAGCGAACAATGAAAATTGATGCATAGATTTTACCTTGCAAGATCTGCTGGTGTTTTGCTGAACACATCCATAGCTCCAGGGTCTGCCCCATATACACCTAGTAGCTCCACCTGGGCTGTCTGGCCTGCTTGGGCTGCTATATGAAGTGGAGTGCTACCACGCTCCTACAACATAAGATAAGATACATGAAATAAAATAAATGAGTTTATGTACATAGAGCATAATTAATATTCATGAAGTTAAATAAAATAAATGAGGTTAAAACTGGGCCCCTTGACTTTGTCTGGGGGGGGGGGGGTAAAAATCCTTTCCTTTCTAAAGGTTGATAAAACATTTAAGAAATTAAACTGTTTAAAAAATTAAATATATCTGAACAATATGAAATGTAATGATAATACATACCATGTTTATATAATTAGCATCTGCCCCCAAGGACAGTAATCTAAGACTGGTCTCCAGATTGCTGGTGCGTACACATGAATAAAGTTGCTGAAAACAACAAGTCATGGAATGTTTCACATGATATAAAAGTATTTATTTGGACTAGATGTTGAAACAATGCACATCAGTGGTATGAATTATTTAAAAGTTGTGAAAATACTGAAAAGCCGAGACCCTCTTCAGAGATATACATATGTACAACTGTTCTGACTTTTTTCTATTTAACTTGTGTAAGTCTTAGCATGCTTAAGACAAATCAAGCACCAAATGTGATACCACCTAATCCTATGGACTTCATTTAAGAGTCTATAGCAGAGGAATGACTTATTGGAGTCTTACCTTGCTGAGGTCTTCAACTGAGCTCACTTCACCATTGGCGGGACGCTTGTTGAATGCTAAGAATTGGTACTTTGCTCGTATAAAGTCTGCCTTGGTAGGGCTACAAACAAAATACAAAGTAATCATGCTTTATTGTTGAAATCTTTTCAAGAGTAACTAATATATGCAAACTTCCAAATAGTTGCAACACAGAATTGAGAATATCAATCTTATAGCATTTCACTCAGATCTGTAGGCTTTTTATTTTCCCAAGAGAAATCAAGACACTTCATTCATAGCTTGATTAAATGTAGTATATCACATAAAACTGATAAATCAATGGATGAATTGTTGAAAACTGTTCAATGAATCCCAGATGGGGTAAACTGAATAAAGGGTATCCAGAAAGGAAGAATGAACACACTGCATCAAACTGTTTGGAGAATGGGGGATAATATACTAGTACCATAATTACTGAACCTTAGAATTTGACAAATCATTTCCTTACTGTATTTGATCTCTGGGGTTTGGTTTGCGACGACCCTGTTTGTTCTGTGTGGGCTCCAATAATGTATGCTCCCAGATGTCATTGGCACGAAAGCTGACCAACTGATGAAGCATCTGAAACAGATAAAGAGTCAACAATGTCACATTAATAAATACAGTGTGTGCAGAAATGCAGTAAGATTTCTCAGTATGTGCTTCTTCATTGATCTTCTTGTAAGCTAAGAGTGTTACTTCTATCTCCATCTACATTAGTTGTTATTAATTGTTTGTTTTGTTTAGTGAATGGTGTCACCTAAGATTTCCTCCATTTTACCACTGCCGACGGAGCTACCACCTTTAAATGGCAGACAGATGACTATCCATGTCTGCAAATCAGACTGCATATTGCTTATTAGATTTAAACTGTCACTCAACTCATGCTGAAACATAGATGCTGTATCTGGGAACAGTAGCAGTTTACAAAATTTAGAGTCATTCAGAACATACATATTGAAGTTGACATGAACTTTCTCTTCTATTAATGCTATATTGCGTATAAACTTACTGCAAGCTGTGTAGGACTCCATGATCCTTTTTTCAGTGACTTAATTTGTGAGATATGTCTGCCTAGACTTCTGTGGATACTGCAGCATTCATCACATATCAAAACTCCACGATTTATAGATGCCCATGCTGGATCTAAAACAAACCAAATTCCACTTTCTATTACTATAGATGTCCATGCGTTATCTTAAACAAATCAAAATTCCATGACTTTAAATAAACATACCAAACTGGAAAAGTTGAAGACTACAGAAGAGTTTCCCATAGGTGGCCATTATAACATTTTACTCTGTATCTTATTTAATGACTAGTATCCAAGCCTAGTGCAACATACCACAGTGTTCGGGCCTAGCCTGCTATAACAATCTTACCATGAGTTGTCCACCGAATTTTTGAGATAAATAAACTTGAAGACGCTAACCCCCTCTATCGTCAGATTTCTAAGAGAATTCTGGTAAAATCACCAAGGTCAAAATCACTCCGCCGCCAGCTTAGAATGAAATTTTCCACTGGACTTTGACATGTTTTCAAATAAATTAGGAGCTACTTTATAAATATTTAGTCCCGATTCACTTCCAAAATGCCAGCTGGCGCTCCAATGGGGTAGGGAAGGAGAAGAATGACCTTTAATACAGAAAACCAAATCACTAACGGTAACCGCTAGTGTCCTTACTCAGGACTATATCCTAATAGTAAATTGAATTAGTTTGTTTTCTTCCAACATGGTTATATTAGCATTGTAGGCATCATCCCGAACACAACGGTATATAACAATGCTATATTTGAGAAAATGCACAGGGGAAGATTCAATCCTTATAGACACAGGTCCTTTTAGCAAAATTTAGGAAATTTGATTTTGAGATTTCTTAAAATTTCTTTGGGGTAGGGGTACACCTTACAGTTTGCATCTCAGATTGAGAACACCCAACTGAGGTGAACATGGCCATATGGGGTATCATTAGAAAGCTATTTCTACTATCTTTCGAGTGATATCCATGTGAAGGCGTTCGATTTTTGGCAATTTTGACTCAGAATGCCTTGGAATGGTTTAAAAATAAAGATTTTACCTGATGCTTTCTTTGTCAAGATCATTCCAAAGGATTCTATTCTATCAATAGTTGTTAAAAGCCGCAAATTAGGATAGGAATTAACGAAAACTAGATCGAGTTTAGAAATAACTTTTCAAATTCTCAAAGTGGAAGTCAGCAATCAACTTTCATGGTATTTAGTTTTTGGGGGGTCAGAGTCAAAACTAGATTTATTTAGTTTCCAATCCGACATTGAACTTTTGATGCCTCCCATAACCAGATTGAAAGATGAAACAAGCTCATTGTTAATGTATAATAAATTGAGTTGAATTCATCAAAATGCATCTCAAAACATATAAGCAACTTGACACATGACTACTTACTATTTCTTCTGAGTCACACGGTGAAGAAGAAAGATAATATTAACTTTCTTTGTTTTCAATTGATGACAAACAAAATTGGAAACTTCACACTCAAAAATTAAAAGGAAAGATAGCAAAAAGTGTTGATATCTTATATCTTTCCAGCTCATAACTGAAACTTATAATGTCACTGAATTATTGTAACATGATTTGGGGTAATGCTGACAAAAAATTCCAAAGTCACTCTTTCAAAAGAAATTTGTCATGCTGCCCATTTATTTAAAGATCTTGGGATCCTAAATGTTCATGACATATATCAATATTATTTAATGGGAGGATTTTGATACATGGTATATCTGAGGGAAATACAAGGGATATACCCTGTAGCAAAAATGGAACATTTAATAACTGATTTATCTTATACTTAGTAGATTATGAGGATTACGTTATGAAACCATCATGTAATAATTGCAAATGATAATAATTACAATCAAAACATGAATATTATAGGAATATCCTATGGCTTTGAAAAAATATCACTTATATCCATGAGTGGATATTGATATCTTCGCGAGTGAGCGCAGCGAATGAGTGAAGATACTGATATCCATGAGTGGATATAAGTGATATTATTGAAAAACCATAGGATTGTCCGTTTATCCAATGGGGAATTATTATCCATCGAACATCGAATAGTCAGATAAATTTTAACAAGATTTATTTCAACATTAATACATGTACGCCTTCCAATGGAAGTTCCATTTCATCTGCAATAATTCAACGAATGTCATAAATGTTACGTAACAGGGTGGTTTGTATTTAATGCGAATGCCACAAAAACTAGATCCAAAAAATAAATAAAAGTATAAAGAAACTGAAACACTCTTGCCATGCATACAGGGATTATATTCACATCCGCTCAACAGACTATTTTAACTTGCATACACATAGTAATATATAAATGAATCACATGTTGTAAACATTCAGCCCTAGGATTTTGTTTGGTATCGCAGGAATTTCCTTATAATTTACCTTACAACACGTCAAATACAACAGTAGATCTAATACAAACAATGTTGAGTTTATAACACTCGCAATTTAGCAATGTTGCTTGAGTATGTTCCATATTTATAAGAGGACTGATTTCCCAAGTTTGTAGGGATAATGATAGCAGAAATGAGGAGATTTAGAAAGATACGCCCTGGATGAAATGTTCATGGCCTGATGGTGGACGTTCTGAGAGACAGCCGCAACTTTTTTCGGAGAACGTTTTTGGTGGTGCTCTAAATTGATTGAAGTAAATTATATGCATGGTTAGCACGATAATTTTTCGACTTTTGAAATATAACATAGGCCACTATTGTATATATGCGCTCAAGACTAGAAGTCTTGGAACTAGATAACTCCAATTTCCATTAGGAAAATTAAACCCTCAAAAATTCTATCCAGAAATTTAGAAAATGGAACTTCAAATTTGGATGGGAAATAAAACGTACTCACCCTGGGCGTTGCAATCAGCACATATTTCACTAGAGGCCCTGATCTTCCCCCTAGACATTGCAAGGTATCTGCATACGCAAGGCAGTTATTATCGAGATAATTAGGTGATTCAAACAAAATTTCTTTCTTCCTGCATTTGGAAATTTACACTGAGCTAGCTGCGAATAATTATTCGAATCTTTTCTATGACTTTTCTGTAGTGTCTCGATAAGAATTAAATAAACACACCGACAGTTCTAATAGGTATATTTCATAGGTGTTAAATTTAATGATTACTTATGATAAAATACTTATCATTTCATACGAAAATCAAGAATGATTTTATCATTGGGCCAAAAGCAGTTTCGTTCGTTGCGTACCTCACTAACTCTGCAGATCTTTGAATTCCCGGGGAAACCGGATTTACAAAAATACCACAGAAATCAACAACATGCATCACTCAACATGAACTGGAGTGTTCTGACCGTAACTTTTGGGCCAATATAGAAAGATCACCGCAGTGGTGAAATTCCTGATAAGGCTAGGCCCGTAGCCAGGGGGGAGAGGAGGCTGAGGGAGGCTGCGGCCGCTCCCCCTGGCCAGAAATTCTCAGTTCAAAATCATGCAGTTTTTCACCACTCTGTGCACTTTTCGCATGACTTTTTGCCGTCAAAAAGGTCCCCTCCCCTTTTTAAAACCGCCCCCCCCCCAAAAAAAAAGTAAATCCTGGCTTCGGGCCCGTGACCCTCAGTGTGCTAGCGAAATATGTGTCAAGAAATGCAGGTTTTATATACAAGCATTAACAGTATTGTATGTATGCATTTGTATATAAGCCTTCGATTTTTTTAATCATCACATTTTTACAGAAATGGCATACTCGAGTTTCGTTTTGAGTTAAATGTTTACTCGTTCTTACGTTCAAAACAAAACAATTTGTAATTAATCAGAAAACCATAAGAGAATTTATAAAGATTACGAATATGACGAACGGTATGTCTATTAGCCATAAATCAGAAACTGTTAGCTTCTCAGGATCCGCTAGTGAAACGGATAACTTTAGAAAGTCTTAGAAATTCTATGTAGAATTACCTAACAAACATACGTATACTGTACGAACACAAACTATGTTTCCATATGATCTTGCACTTAGTATACTAAAATGTATATTAAACAATCTAGTACAAGGATATTAAGAACATCCTGATTTTTTCAGAATTTCATTTTAATCTACTCGGTAATATTTTTGATATATGCAGTTGTTCGATTCGCTCTCTCATCACCTCGTAGATAAAATGATATTCCTCCGAAAATTATACGATATCCTAGAGTTATTCCATAATGCTACTGATTTCCCAGGGAAATATGAAGGAATAAAATCGTATTGAATCGTATTACATGAAAAAATCGTATTGTCCACGGGAAAAATCGTGTTGGAGCGTAGTACATGAAAAATCGTATTGTCCCCGGGAAAATCGTATTGGAGCGTATTCACCTTTTTTTGGTTTCCCGGTTATTTTTAACTTGACTAATTGATAACTAAATATGGGTTTTATTCCTCGGAAAATATTATATTGACCTTGGGTAATATGATATTGACCGAGGGAGCGCAAACAATGTGAATTTATTAATATAATATTTGCATTATCCAAATGTAACATTTTAGAGGGATGTATTATTGAATAAGTAGACTGCTTCTGGTCGGGATTGAATATGGGTTTTATTCCTCGGAAAATATAATATTGACCTTGGGCAATATGATATTGACCGAGGGAGCGCAAACAATGTGAATTTATTAATATAATGTTTGCATTATCCAAATGTAACATTTTAGAGGGATGTATTATTGAATAAGTAGGCTGCTTCTGGTCGGGATTGAATGTGGGTTTTATTCCTCGGAAAATATGATATTGACCTTGGGCAATATGATATTGACACTCGGTCGCTGCGCTCCCTCGGTCAGTATCATATTACCCTTCGGTCAATATCAGATTGTCCCTCGGAATAAAACCCATATTCAATCCCTCTCAGTAAATAACCTATATATATTTGTTAAAATAAATCGCAACACTCACTTGGTCGATCGACTAATCCAAAAGGTAAGTAGAGTGGCAAACACACAAAACAGAGTAAAAACTTGCATAGCGATCTATACGTTAAAATTAATGCTATTTTCTCTTATTTACTCGCTACTTCAATAGTGGCAAGAACATTTTTTCGATCATCCTTTGTTGAGTTTATTGTGAAAAGACAGAGTTACATCTGATCGATAAAACGCTCAACACATCATTTAATATTTTGCCATTATTATTTCAGGCCGTACTTCTGATTGACCACTTAATGATCTGACATACAAGGGCTGATCAAAAAGTTTCTTACCTTTGGCTCTAGATTTTATAATAAGAGGAGTTGGATGCTCAGACGTTAACATGAGACAAGATAGTTAGTTTGCTTGAAACTGTACGAGTTTCATATAAATTGGTTTATTGGTAGTAGTGACACAGAGTCAATACATATTTCCAATGACTTAGTTAGGTGGAGCAGCGTTATATATAAAATATCTGCTGAGTTGTGGTTCGTTTACAACCTCTCATACGAAGGCCTTAAACATGTGTTTTTGGATTGGGTGGACAGATATAGGAAGTGCATTGCAAGTAGTTATCTCGTAAAACCACAAAACTAGTGATGACTACATCAATTTCATTCAATGTACCATAAAGCCACGTCTCTCCTCTTTGCAATGATATGTCATTCATTCACATGTGGTAATGGTTGGGTGAGAAATCCTTCCATTTGCACTGTGGGTCAAAATTGGCTAGACCAAGTTTTACATATTGAAAAAATCAGTGCAGGGGCTAAGTGCACATGGAAGTTCCCCTGACTTGAATTGTTGTGACTTTTTCTTTTGGAGCTATCTCAGGATACCCTGCGTGCAGAGTCTAGTTAAACTACTGAAGACGAAGCTCTCTTTTAAGAAGTGAAGTCAAACGAATGCAAAGGGTAATCTCAGGAGCATCTGTGCTCACAATTCCTCCACCAGATATTGCAAAACCTTGAGAAAGAATTGCCCATGGGCTGCTTTTCTCTGCTTTAACCAACAGATGACTCAGGGCTGAACCATGCACGACGTGGACAGATGAGCGCATCTTTATGTGCAAGGAAGTGGTGGCCGCTTGAATTTGGAGGGGTATAGGATGTATTCTTGCAAGAGTATGAGTATGAACACTTTACTGTCTATGTCACACCTTCTTCCAATAGCCCCTATGCCCATTGTACTGACTTTTGCAATGTTTAAAACTTGGGTCCCAGCTGAATTTTGCCCCATTTGCAAAATTAATGATTATTCGGCCAGAGATGACTCCCTGTGAATGAATGATATTACATTGCAAAGAAGAGTAATTTGGCTTTTTGGTACATTGAATGAAAAGGATGCAGTCAGCATTGGTTTTATGTTTTCTTCCAATATTGCATCGGGCTCCGAACACTGACTTTTGCGATGTTTATAACTTGGCCCCAAGCTAATTTTGGCCCACTTTGCAAATGGAATGATTACTCGCTCAACCATGACCAAATATGAATGAAATCAATGCTGTTATCACTGGTTTTGAGCTTTTTCGAGATAACAATCTGCTGCGTTTTTTTGATACGCACTGTATAGTCTTGACAGATTACACTACTTAGCTAGTGTTAGGAATTTCCAAAACTGCTGCTTAGTACATTTTTTTATAAAAAACACTGCTCCACCTAACTTAATCATTTAAAATGTGTATTGACTCAGTGTCACTACCAATGGACCAATTTATATGAAACTTAAACTGTTTAAAGCAAACGTACAGGGTGTTCAACAAACGCAACCCAAAGAAATCGCTATATCTAAGAAGGCATTTTGACCATGACTGTAAAGTCTCTGGAGTGATTTTAATGAAACTCCCCCAATTCACTACACATTATATGAGGTTACTTTTTGTCGAATCTGAAGTGCCAAAACACCATGGTTAGAAAGTTATTAGGGTTTATTGCTCTAGCAGTCACCTCTGACTGCGTTTGTCGTATCTTTCTAATACTAATGTCTTTTGAGCAGGTGTCTAAGGCATCATGTTATACAACTAACTAACAGCAGGAGCTTTACACACAAACTCTCTTCTTTCTTTCCTGAAAAAATGAACACAATTGGATAAGTATTTTCCAAAGATATAGCAATTTCTTTTTGGTTGTGTTTTTTGAACACCCTGTATTACTAGTCCCCTGTCTCGTGTAAAAGTTTGAGCATCCAACTTATTATAAAATCTAAAGCAAACGGTAAGAAACTTTTTGATATAATAGAATTATATATTTAATTGTGACCTTAGAGCCGTTTAGAGCAACATTCTTGGTCCAAGTAGTTTACTCATCTTTATCATTCGATTTCGATTAATAGTAATAGCAGAGTACCAATTGTTCATCCCCGAGAGTTCCGCAACTATAAATTGAACGATGGAGTAAAAGATTTATCTAAATAGAATATAATTATCCAAATATTCAGTTTGGTCCAAAAAGTGAGTCCAAATTATGAAAAAGGACCAACATATTGGTCAAACATTTTTCCGTCCAGCAAAAATAATTTCACGCAATTGTAAATTGTGAATCTGATAGAATATTCTATAAACTGAAAATATTTGGGTTGTCTGAGGTTTGGCAAGAGTCTTAACACTTGGTAAACCCGGAACAACTGGGCTTTCACAAACGTATCTATTAGACTGATAAATAACAATTCTGTTCAGAATTAATGTAAACAGTGACATCTATTCATCTGACTCGGTGTAATGTAATTTTGTGTCTACAGTAACAAGATATTTTGTGTACTCTTTATTCAAACCTACTAACTATAAAGTAAATGCACTGCATCCTCCGATCACAGGGCTTCAAAATCCAGAATATATTCTTTCTTTTTACCGGGGGAAGAAGGAGGTACGGTAAAGAACACAGCTGTTACGATCGAAATTGTTATCAGTAAGAACTACCTGTACATGTAGGTCAGAAAGACGGTAACTTCTCGTAGAGTGTCTGTTATATTTTCCATTGTCGACCTAGCCCGCATATATAATCTGCAGTATCTGAGTAACATTGATCATGACAAAAGGCACAGAAACGGCCTCGAGAACATAGCCGCCCCACATACACTGAACATCGTCGTTATTCTTTTGTGACCTCGTGACCTGACCCCTAACCTAGTCTTCAGTTCTACACAGCTGTTGCACTTTTTTAAAGTACAAACACTAGCTAGTCGCAGCTATAGTACCCCGGATAGCATTTGAGGATCATGTTATTTCTCTGGACTTACTTTCTCAATTACATATGGCTTATTTTGAAGCATGCTTAGAGTATATCCAAGAAGGTACAGCAAAATTTTAAATGTTTGGAACTACTTTGAATTTAAAAAATAAGCAAAGGACCGTATTGAAACAGTTTATGTAAAAATAGAAACATTTATACATGTCCTAACTTTTGTCTATTTAAGTTTGTTTTGTAGTTTAGCTATTATATCTCTGGCCTCTTATATTTTGATGATTCTCTGCCATGCTATTTTCGGAAAAATTAACATGGCTGAAACTCCCTAAATTACAATAGGCCACAGCTTTACTGCATATTATACATAACTACCTGAAATACACAAAAGTTCGGACAACTACACATGTTTCTATTTTTTGTTGCAATATAGTCATTTGATTGCTTATTTCTTAAATTCAAAGTTGTTCCAAACATTTAAAATTTTACTCTAGTTTCTTACATTGGTTCTAAGTAGGATGACAAACAGGCACTAGCCTATTGTAAGCTGGTAAAGACCGAGAATGTTCAAATTTCACTTACGGTACAACGCTGTAGAGAGAATCTAATAATGAAGTTTGCATGTTCGTCTGCACCAAGAACTCTCAAACTGCACTACAACATCACGAAAAAGGACATCTGCATACTTTAAAATTGAGATTTGTAAATGAAATGACTACAGTGTACATGATATCCGGGACGATATCATACCAGAAATTATGAAGACTAGTCGTACAAAAATTTATCGAAGTACATAAAATTAAAATGCTTGTCAATTGGTTCTAAAATAAGTATGATAAAAAAAGAAGAAAACATTCGTTAAAAGATCTTCATGAGTCCGCTGACAGAATACTTTATTTCAAGAGATATACATATCAAGGTACATATGTATAACATGATTCTCAAATGGCTGCTCGGGGTACTATGCAATTTAGATCTGAAGTTCATATTTACTCTTAGTCCCTGTAGTTCGATATTACATTGGCCTACATTGTATTAGGTTGCTTCGTCTAGCTGCTGTGTATGTTCTCTGATAAAGACGAAGAGAGTGGATAGTTGATGTTCCCATTTTTATACTAGTTGACTGTTCAATGTGGATATTTTGCCTTTCTAAATAACTCGGTGAGTACGAACGCTAAGTTAGTTTGCAAAACTGCTTATTAGTATGCAATGTAGAGGTGCATCCACTACCGTTTCATATCTTATAAATAAAATTCATAAATATAAGAATTTTGTTAGAAACTGGCCAAACATTCCAAAGATTTAACATGAAAAATCGATGCAGCATCTATTAGCTTCGTTGTATTTGAGGTCACTTTGGAGATGTGAGGTTTCTTGCAGAGGCTTGCAGTGCACACATATCTGCATATACAGTACTTACACAGATATATTCAATCAATACAATTCTGTTGTTCAAAAACGCATCATTTATCACTTTTCAGCAGATTGCCTATGAAGCAATGTACTGCTTATCATTCTCACAATGAGTCACGTGAAGTATTTTCAAAAGTGGTGTTTATTTCTTGTCTGGAAAACTGTCATGTCCTTTGTATTTCCTACTTTCTCTTCGATTAAAAAATTGAGATTTTAACTTAATATTTGAATTGAGTCAGCAACCGGGGTATTATACAGAGTGTCTCAAAAAATGCCGCTGAGATTAAATTGCTAATTTGTCAAAGGTGAATAATGTTAGGGACAATTCGTCATTTGCGTCATTATGCCCTCTTTTATATGGTACCAAAATGTACTATTTTCCTCCTCAGATGACTGAGCAATGAGAGATTTAAGTGACCATGTCAGAAATGGTTTGCCATTTTCAGCCAAGCAATTCACTATCATAACACACAGTGTACTGATAAGTAACAACAGATATCAGGATATTACTCTTTACTCATTTATTCCAATTAAAGTGACACATATTTAACACCCCCTTTCAATCCCAATGACCATTCAAAGTTGTTTAAACTCCAGTGTCCTTCAACATGACCCCCAATTCCTTTCAAGACAGATGTCTGGCGCTAGATCTCATCGCGCAAGTAAAATTCCATGCACAAGAAAGTTGCATATCTTGTCAATGAAATGGTAAATAAAAAGAAATCTGAATCGATTCATGTATTTCCTGGGAAAAATCAAATTCCTTTTTTCGTGTTTTCCTAGAACAACTGTCTTCTGAGCAGGTGTCCAAGGCATCATGTTTTACAACAGTCTCTTCTTTCTTCAAGTTCCTGAAAAATGAACATAATTGAACTAGTGTTTTTCAAGATATTGCGATTTCTTTGGGTTGCGTTTTTTTATACACTGTACATTACTAGCCTATACATGTATGAAATACTGCAAATGAAACCGAGCTTATTATTTTCAACTTCAGAAATCTCTCTGAGCTTATTCTCATTAATATACGATCACATGATGGCTGACCCCGAATGGCCAGAAGTATACAAGGGTTCGATATATGAAAGGTTGAAGGATCCATTCGTCTTTAAAGGAGTTATCATGCCCGCATTTGAGAACAAAGAAGCATTAGAAGAGATGGAGGACTGGAAGATGCGTCCCGATGACATATTGGCCATTGGATGGCCAAGGACAGGTTTGGACTGAAATATATTTTTCGCTAATCAAGTAGTTCAGGTTCATTTGAGTGTTCAAGTGCAGGGTGATTGGGTTTTGTTAGATCGTTTCTTGGTTTTTAAATTTTAATCAGTAAATCTAATGAGTCTCATTCACCCTCGTTTTCAGTCATGCAGCCGCCCATAGGACCACCTAATTCCGGCAAGATTTATGTAACAATTAATTAGTAACTCCTTCATATTTTTTCAAGGTTCCTATATGTGCAAGCATCTTCTATGGAACATCATGACCAATGGCAATATACCAGAAGGTGAAGACATAGGGGACCACGTGCGTTATATAAATACGTCACCTGATGGTACGTTGTGCCCACTATGATATTTCACAATATCAACAGTTTAATTTCCAATGTTCTATCATCATATTTGAGCAGTTTTTCGGCATGAAATATTTCTAGAGCCAATCAAATGCAAGGATTATTCTTGAGATATAAGTTACATGAAGTCAACTGATGTGAAATGTTGTAATGTTTAGTAAGATGTTTATAAGTTTCTATAGTTTTTGGCATCATCTCGTAGACTGCTAATTTCTGATAAACAAAGTAAAAAGCGATTAAATTTAAAGTCCTGGAGTACAACTGACCAAAACATCAATACTGCTATGCTTTGCAAATGTTTATACCTTTATTATCTACATCACATTTTACGAATAATTGTATACTTTTTAGGGAGAAAATTTACTTATAAATATGTGTTTCGGACATAAATTAGATAATGAATTAAAGTAGATAATTAGATTAAACATCCAGAGTTCATGAGACGAGGCTCAGAGGTTTTGTCTAGACATTCCTTTCTCACCAAAATCTTCCAAATTCTCAGATTCTCAGTAAACATTCAAGCTTTGCGGGCAGGAAATCATCACTATTTCTTATTGATATTTTATAAAATTAAACATTTATTTTTAGGCCACTTTTAGTTAATGCGATTTCCTAATATTTTATTGGATAAGACCTCTTATTTCGGCTCAGCCCACCTCAAAATTAAGATATAAAAGAGGCATTTTGGCATTGAAACCTCTGAACCTCGTTGCGTGAACTCGGGACTAACCAAAAACTGTAAGTAGCCGATTGAAATGAGATTGTTGGACTTTAATTTTTCTTTAATAAATTAATATTTTAAACTTTATTTGTTTTCATGTTTTGTAAAAGATAGAGAGACTCAACTTTGCCACAGTTTAGTATATACTATTTATCGGGTGGGCATAAAAATGGGCCGAACTTTGTCACGTGATATCTCCATAACCCTCTTAGCTCTACTTCAAAAATGTGCACGTGTGAAACCATTTACCTCCCTAATATAAAAATGAAATTTTAGTTTTATCTTTTGGAATTTCTGGTAATGGGATCAAAATCAAAAAATGAGTCAAAAACGCTTGTTCCGGATAATTTCAATATGACGCCAATCCTTGTTACTGTTGAAAAATTAATCAATTGGTCCTCAATCTTCTCTGAAGATGGTATACATTGACAAATAATTTATCCAGGAATTGATTGAGTACTTAATATTGTTCAATTTTTAAGGTAATAGCGTATCGATACGGAGCAAATAACCCTTCACCAACAGAACTTGAATAACTAAGGTCTTTGCTAAAGGCATTGGTCATCGAACGGTAAAGTATGACATGTAAGAGAAGCAAGTGAAACAACACGTACGGCCATTGTGCAATCTTCTTTCCCTGCCAGTTTATTAAGCTCAGGAGAGTTTCAAGGTGAATAAAAAGCTCCAGGAATGGATTTAAAAGCGTTTGGGTTGCATATCGTTAAACAAATTCTGCAAAGTGAACATATCTTTTAGCAAATTGGACGTCATATGTCAGGGTAACAGATCATGTCCATCTCGATGACCAATGCCTCCAGCAAAGACCTTAGTTGTTCAAGTTCTGGTGGTGAAGGGTTATTTGCTTTAATCAAAACTCCGTATCAAGCTATATCATCTTGGAAATTGAACAATATGCTAAAGTAAAGCAACTGAATCATTTCATGAAAAAATCATTTGTGAACCATCTTCATAGAAGATGTAGAACCAAATTGATCAAATTCTCAATGCAAGTGTAACAAAGATTGACGTCATATTGAAATTATACGGAACATGCGTTTTTGACTCATGTTTTTGATTTTAATGCCACTATCAGAAATTTTAAAAGAAAAAACTGAAATTCAATTTTATATCAATGAGATACATGTAACTAGTGTCACATGTGCAAATGTCTAGATGTAGAGGTGAGAGGATTATGGAGAAATCAAATGCCGAAGTACGGCCCATTTTTACTCCCTGTATACTATAAATTGTATTCTTCTGAACTAAATGATTGTAGCAATGCTCACACCGTGCCATAGCAATGTGGTGACTTTAAACATAATTTTATTTACAAAACAAAATGAGTGCAATATAGTAGTTTTCCTCTCAGCAAAATGATTGCAATAAAGTCGATTTCCTCGCATAGCCAAATGATTGCAATAAAGCAGTTTAACAATTACACAATAAAGGGACTTTGCTCTGGTTCTCCAGAGTGCGAGGGTAGCGATATAATTTGCATGCAGAGTGCGTGTTTCAGTGATCCATGCGGACAAATCAGGTATTGCTCCTACAGACCAAGGCTCCAATCCGCTAACACACATTGATGCAATGGACAAAAGCAAACCAAGAATGCTATGTGGCCATCTTCCATACCAATACATGCCAAAAGATGTCAAAGAGGGAAAAGTCAAAGTATGTATTTACTGTGCTATTCGTTTACTAAATGTTTTTCCAAGGTCGGCAAGCATACGATTATGATAATTGGAACTGGAAGAAAATACTGGGGTTAATCTAAAAATACTGTTCAGGGGGTTATGACAGAATGCTTTGTAAAAAGAATTTCTTAATCATTATTTTCACCATAATGTTAGATGCAGTATTATAGACGATACAATCAATGGACTAAATAAAATGAATTTCTGTTTACTCATGTTCAATGCTTTGATTGTAGACCTGATACATTTTTAAATCTTAAGTTTATGCGTTTTAAAATATTAATGCAAGCGTTTAATTGATAGTTTTAATAACACGAACTTAATATGTAGGTGATTCTGCAACTCAGGAACTTCAAGGACGCAACGTTGAGCCATCATCTTGTATGGAAAGGGTCTGAGGTGTGGAATAGTACTGACTATACGCTCGGAGAATGGTTAAGTGACCAATTAAAAGGAGGAGGTGACTACATCTACTTAATTATATTGTAGATCTACTAATGATTTACATAGAAAGGGCTAATATTGATGAAATTAGAGTCAACAGTCCATCACTTTCTGATCGTCCCTCGTGTAATGGACTCTGGAATGAAATGAGTATCTGGTCTTATACACAATAAAAGGGATTCTCAATTCAAAAGATATACACAATCAAAAAGGGTATACCATCAGAAAATTTAAAGGGGTGTCTCCAAAAATCCACCCAAAAGTATAACAAATAGAAAAATAAATATCTTCAGATATTTTAACATAGTTATGTAAACAAAGCGTGTACGTTTTTTTAGTTCCATCTTGTCTTTTAAATGCTTAACTCTATTCACAAATTTACACAATACTATTTAAAAGTCTGAGTTAATGTATATTTTATTCATATTTAGTCCCTTATGGTGACTGGATCGACCACACAGTGGGATGGTTGAAACACAAAGAAGAACTAAATATTCTTATTCTGCAATATGAAGACATGATAGAAGTATGTCCCCAACATCTGTAGTATTGCTAATCGCATATATTTCCAACAATCTTGTGACTTCTACACATTCATCATGTTAATTATTATCGCGCTTGAAATGTAAAGTTGGAATCGGAGTAAATCTATTAAACAGTTATTATAAACGACATTGTGAATTTGATATGTTAATTCTTTTTATTTGCATTATAAAATATGAATTTGGTTACATGAATTGTGGTTGGCCAAAGCCATTAGTATTATTGTGCATTTGTTTATCATCATTTTTCATAGGACATGGTTGGTACTGTGCAGAAAATGGCAAAGTTTGTTGGAAAGGAACTTTGTCCAGAGACTGTCTCAAAAATAGCACAGGAATGCACATTTAAAGCAATGAAGAAAAAGCCGGATACTTTTGAAAAGTTGGATATTGTTAGTACGCCTTATTTAAGAAAAGGTAAACTTTAGAGATCATTGTTTTTCAGTATACTTTTATTTCATTCTATTATAACTGTGGTTTTCTATCTGAAGATGAATATGTCATGGCTGTTCTCCACAATGAAACAAGCGCAGCGAAATGTGTTATGCCTCACATGTGTTATGCCTCACATGTGTTATGCCTCACATGTGTATCCTCATCGTTCATATATTTCATATGCACATCACATGGATAATTTGCTTTGCTTTTATAATTGCAAATTGCTATAATTGCATTTATAATCGGATTTTATAGGTATAGTTGGAGACTGGAAAAATCACTTTACCGTCGCCCAGAGTGAAGAAATAGATGACGCACTGAAGGAAAGGATGCAAGGAATCGGCGACATTACATTCAAATATGAATAGACAATAGACATAACATACACTTACCTACAAGTACCGATAAGATACATAGAGTCGCATTATGTAGTCGATAAACTGATAAAAGCGTACACTTATGTTATATCTAATGATATATACAGGGTGGGCCCAAAACGCCATTTTTTCAAAAGATTGCAACTTCCTTATTGCTCACTCTCCATTAGATTTACTTCACTTAAACAGGCAATGCGCTTATTTTAGAAGGGAAAAGGACAAGATATTATTTGAGACATGTCACTCACACAGTCAATCAAATATGATCAAAACTTTAATTTGGGTCAATACTGTAGTGAAAAAACTACTCGCATAGAAAACAGGATTTGAAGTTCAGAGATAAAAAGAAGTGAATTACCACTTTTCACAAAGTGTATATTTTAAATAACTCTTGGATTAAAAGATGGTGTATGGTTGAAAATCCTATAAAAATGAATGAAAAAATAATGCAAACAAAAATGCCATCTTCCTATGGCGTTACTAAAAACTTGACATCTATAAATTGATAGATCAAAAATATTTTTTCATGATCTAGTGTCAACTCTGATGTGGTCTGTTTTTAATCCATTGGAAATACTATGAAGATCAAATATGAGACATTATTTACGCACGTTGTCCCTTTAATTATTTAAAGTCGCATTTTATAAAGTAATAAAACTGTTCGTGTGAATAGGTGTATTCTCTTAAAAATGTAATTTTAGAAATCAGGGAATTTATAGGATTTTCATCTGATTTTTCTCGATTTAAATTCGGAGTTAACAGGTTAGGGTCACATTAATTGGACAAGAAGTGGAACAAGTGGTAAGACGTCCATTCAGTTGGAAATAAAATAGATATAACAATTTAGGGCATCTCAGGGTTCGACACTGCAAGTTGCGACTACCAATGGCAACCCATTCTTGGCAATGGGTTAGACGGTGAACACCGCCTCTAATGCGTTGGATTGTCGTAAGGACTGGCCAACACGATCCTCAGAGACCCAGAGGGTGAATGAATGCACCTAGGCAATGGGTTTGACCGAAAATTGGCAAGATCCTGGTTGCCTACTTGTCGATTGAATGAACGTGAATGTGATTTGTTATGAAGCAGTTTAACATCTAGTTCGGAACGCTGTGTCCTCTCACGAAGCAGAAGTCCGGTCACTCCCTTGTAGTCAAACGGCTCATTTAGGAGAAACCCTATTAAAATTCAAGTTAAACATCCTATTAATCACTGTATGCGTATGTAATGTAATTGTAATTTTGTAGCAAACTGAACATGCTGAGTAAAACATGAAATTACGACTTCAGAATATGTGTTTTTTATTTCCCTAATCCAAGGGGAAATAAGCTGTTGTCACCTTATATCTGAGACTAACATAAATGTTTTTCAAATTTTATGTTAGTCTCAGCTTATATCATTTACTTAAAGAGATCGAGTCGTCCAGATTTCTATTCTGGACAATCAGTAATGTCCCAATATAATTGCTCATAAAACATCATATATACCTTAGATATATCTTGAGACCAAATCATAAGCACGATATCGACAATATATTGAGGAGATCAGGTTCGCGTAACCGTCCATCAATTTTTTACATTACCGTAAATTCAAAATACATTATTATGGCTTGAGTAGAACATATTAGGTGGTTTCCAATGCTCAATGATTGGCTTTGTATGATCGCATGTAGGTTACATCTATTTACCCCAAGGTAATTTTGTTCACTGACAGATGACATACTTGGATATGATGGCATGATAGTAAAACATATACATGGCCACAAATCTTACATTAATCGTCTCTAAGGGACAGATCAGTTGTAAGAGAATGCGCGTGATATTCATGTATTGGTTGTGTTATCCATTCCTAAGGTGTTTTTAAATTATTAAATTACTTTTATATGAATAGATGGCGTGTTTGGTTGACACATAGACTAACTATTACAAGAGGAGGAATGGCCCGGAGCTTTAGAGGTGACAGACATAATTACGTCTCTTACTTGGCATATTCGTTTTTTAGAATTTTCACAAGCAAGTGTACGAATACAATGTCCAATTCCTTGTCATGTTTTAATCGATGTTAGCATATTCTTGCAAAACATCTTCATGTAACAAAACAAGCCGCGATATGAATTAACATGCCAGATATTAACAAGATATATTTTTGTGGATTGTGTTTGGTGGTTGGTGCTTGGCAGTTGGTGGTCACTGGGTGGCATCCCACGATCAGCGTATGAAAACTTGACTGACAGGTGGAGTTTAGGGCATAAATTATTTTCACACATTGCTAATTGTTTGGTCCATCTATAAGTGTGCTATTGAATAGTTTCGAACAATATTCGAATTTAGGTTCTGAAATATACAGGGGGTTATCAATGTTTTAAAGGTTTCACAGATCTGCCAAAAAGATGATCTGTTCCATCCAAAATCGTAGGGACAATTGTTGTAATGAATTTTCCATGTAATATTTGTCCCTATGTTACAATTTATAATATTTGAACCAAATCCGTCCACTGGTGTTTGGGTTGTTCTATCACCCTCAGTCAATATGATAATTTCCCTGGCCGATATCATATTTTCCCTCGGAACAGAATTCATATTCTATCCCTCCCATTACTCCAGTGCATTAAAAACTGTTTTTAAGTAATATTGCCAAACTTTTGTTTATTAACCAGCTTTAATATTCTATCAAGGATGCTACATCTACAGGGTGTCAAATAAATATGGCCCCTTGATTTCAAGAGTATAGTATAATGGTGTGCATAAATGTGCACACCATTGAGTTTTAAGGCTGCTGGTGTTTTGTTGTAGAGCATATTTTAAAAATTATTTGGATTCCAAGCAAACGTTGGTGTATGACTGATTACTCATTTTGTTCTAACATCTGTTCAATTTTGCATATTTTTGAAGAAAAGATAATAATTTCTAGAGTACACAATGATATAATCTTAAGTGAAATTCATCATTCGCATTCTGATACTCATAGCATCTTTCTGTTTCACCTGATCTCAGGGCTGAGAAGAAATGAGATGCCATGGTTTATCATGATGCATCATTCGTGTCCTTTTCAAATACTATCGGATTGTGGGTTTGGTATGTGATTTATTTCTCATTTAATTAATTTTAAATAAACGCGCTAGATTTAAAATTATTCATTTTATTCATCTATAATTTAAGGAATACATCTACAGTATATAGTGTCCATTTTGATTCAATAATCGATATAGATTTTGCACATATTCATAATTTTTGCATCTGTACATTCACATCGAAACACTAATTAATGCCCTGGTCACATTTGCTCCGATTTTCGCTACGGCGCCCGGCTGATTGAGTATTTTGTTCAAAATTGAATACTTTATTGAACAAAACATTCAATTGGCCGGGCGCTGGCTGATGGATCGGAGCAAATGTGACCCAGGCATTAGGAATTTAGGAACAGCACACAAGAAGGCTAAAGCATTAAATAAAATTTATGAACATAGTAATACACATATAGTTATACATTTTAATTCCAAAACAAGCATGAATATGATGTAACAAGTCCTATGTATCAAGTCACGTGGTTGATTTATGCTGTCTGCTACAGAGGTCGATGTGTAAGATATATTGACCGGATATATTGATTGGATTTAGCATGTCGAATATTGATACAAATTAAATTCTATAGACTAGATAGTCTGCATGCACACGATCATCTTTTTGTCAATTGAAGCAGTGCATGGCAAGATATAAATGATAGTCTATAATATAGATGCCGCAGACATGTAGCACAAATGTTCTCAAGTCCAAGGTAAGAGGAGTGAGCCTGAAAATAAAAAGGAAAACAATCAGCAATGATTTAATTTTTGAATGCTCCATTTTTTAAGAGTATTTTTTAGTTGCATCTACAACTGTTTTTGATCTAATGAGATATTTTCAATTCGTTCTTCAATATGTATATGAAATGCCCCTTGGAGTTTTGGTAATGGATTGTGATGTTGGTTTGCGATTGATGGAATGAGGGAGAAGGGGATGTTAGACATTATTTTTTTCATGATAGATCATGATTTTGCGATTTATAACATTTATAGCTGGTTAACTTATCCTATAACACCAACATAACTAAAGAAGCAAGCCAAATATCCTGTTTAAGAACCACTATTACTATTGGAAATAAATTCGAGCACTTATATCCCACGTAAATCTACTTGTTTAGACTCGATCAACTTAAGTTCTTCTGGGAAAATGAGAGTTTCAGAAAGGGCACCATTGATTTAAAATGGGGATGATCCATTTTCAATAATTAAAATAGGGGTTCTTAAACAATATATTATTAAAGCTTAAGTAAGACAAATTTGAATTATCGGCGAGTACTATTGGGAGAGGTTTACACTTCAAGTTCTATTTGGTAGTTTTAGTACTGAATCATAGTGCCCAATGTGCAGTAGGTATGATTATTCAGCCAAGCATGACAGACCACATGTGAAAAATGAAACATAGCTTCATGGTACATTTGTACATTAAATGAAATCAAAGAACTCATCATTCAGTTTGTATTAGAAAAAATGTTTACCGGACATACATCTGCCAACAATGGGATTAGAATCTCGACAATTGGAAAATGTGTCATTGTGGAATAACCATACTGAACCAGAGAGCAAAATCATCAAATGATAGAACTGATTATGTGTTACAGTACCTTTAACAAGATGGTATGTAGATATAACTGCTGCATATAGGTAGCACAAATTGTAGATTCTCTGTGGTTTTCCTTTGGTGTTTCGTTTTGTTCTCTCCTAGGCAAGAGGAATGTAGATACAAATGCTGCAGATAGGTAGCACAAATTGTAGATTCTCTGTGGTTTTCCCTTTGTGGTTCTTTTTGTTCTCTCTAAGGCAAGAAGACTGCACCTGAAAGTACATTAAGGAAAAAATCAGCGATGGTTCAATTAAAAAGAAAGAAAACCCCGAAACTAAGTCCACAATTTTAACATGAAAACCCAAAAGAAAAGACCCTTCAATCTACAACTGTAGCTAAAATGAACACAAAACTTCAGACCTTCAAAATTTAGATCTGGAGTAGTACTTGAAGTGAACTTTAAAATTGAATCATTACTGAGTAAGTATTGGTCAACGAAATACAATACAAAACAATACAATACAATACTAAGCACTAGATCCATGATCTTGGTAATCTGGTTCGTTGGTTGTTTGGTTCGTTGGGTGGAGTGTTGGTTAGATGGTTGATTAATCAGTTAATTGGTTGGTTAGTTTTAACCTATTGGGTGGTCTGGAGGTTGTCTGGTTGGT